GTACGCATACCGGTACAGTATAGTATTGACTATTTTGGTTAAAATCCTAGGTTCTGTGTAGTATGTTCGAGCTTTTTGGTTTTTGATTTTAGATTATTAAATTTTGTAATTTTAAATAAAAATACTTATTTATTTTTATGTATTTTTAAAACATATCATAATTATTCAAAAAATAAAAACAAAAATGATTTTAATATTATTCATCAAGTTCATATTTTTTGTTTTCAGCATTAAAACTTGTGTTAGATAAATTGTTAATTTTTTGTATTTAATTTATTTTTTAAAAATTATAAATTTATAAAAATTAAAATAAATAATAAATAATTACAATTACACTAAACTGAGCGTTTTCTTATTCTAACAACAGAAGAAAAGCCCTCTGGCTCTTGCTATAAAAACCCCTCCACCACCATCTCATTTCTTCAAACAAACTATAAGAGAAGTTCTTGATTCGAAAGAACATATACAATGGCCTCTTTCAATTCCTTTATCGTAACTCCTACTGGCTTTGTCATTTTCAAGCATCAATGTCAGTCTAGCTACTCGTCTTTGCCTCCACTGTCCACAGTGCCTGAAACAACATAATTGTCGCCTTTGCCATATCCCAACTCTTCCATTGCCTTCATTGCGTCCTTTGCCATCTATGCCAACTCTTCCACTACCTTCATTGCCTCCTCTGCCTAGGCCCAGAGCTCTCCCACCACGTCCTAACTTGCCTACTGTTCCCAAAGTCACGATATGAGAATCGGATCTGTATAACATTATTATTGCTCTGAATGAACTTCCTGGTATACCTGATATTCCTTGTTCTCGCACATTTCTTGAATCTCCATAGCCTGCTCCAAAAATTACTCTGCCTCCACTAACTAGCATTCCCACAATTCCTGAATCTCCACTGCCAGCCCCAAAACTTACTCTGCCTCCACTGCCCAGCATTTAATTCTTAAAATCTCTATAGGGCCTTCGCGCGATCCCCTTTATCCCTCACCATCCGCAAATCAAAACTAGCTAGCCCTTGAATTTGAACTTGCTTTTCGAGTTATGTGATCACAGAATAAATATTTCCTCCTTTCTTGTCATGTACTTGTATATTAATAAGACTGTTTGATCTTTCTTGTATTGCGAGAAAGATGCTTGAGGCTTTGAGCTGTGCTATTTATTTCACTTCTCGTCGTTTCTTCGTTGTGGGAGGAGTGACGTTTGCTTAAAGTTCATATATAAACAGTATTTCTTTTTCTTCCACATTATAGCATAATAAAACTAAAATCACAATCGTACATAGGAGTCTCATTTTAGGGTCCCAATTTTTTTAAAAAAAAATCCTCCAATGATTATTTTGAAAGGATTTAATATTTTATTTATGTAAATAATAAATTATGCATGTGAATGAACCGAATCTTTAGTTTCAAATAGTTCGTCTTCAACTCTTAAAATGTTTAGATTAGTTGGTTGGGTTTCAAATTCTACCAACATTTTAAAAAAAAATCTCTTTTCTCTCAAATTGTATACTATTTAAAAAAAATTATGCATGTAAATTTTTTTGATTAATTAAATATATTTAACTAGCTAATTATATAAATTTTGTTTAAAAAAATTTATCAATTGAATTTATAAAAAAGTTTGGTAAAAAAATTTTAAAATTATGTTTTTTAATAAATTTTTATTTAAAAAATTAAAATAACTTACCTTTTAAAATAAAAACAATACCATTTTGTACCAAAAAAATAAAAAAAATATTATTTTAGTTTTTTTTTGTAATATTTTATTAAAATAATATTATTTTATTTTTTTTTACTTAATTTTTTACAAGTTTGACTAATAAATATTTACCTCATAAAAATTTTAACACAATTAAAAATATATTAAAAAATATATTTTTTAATTAAATAATTATAAATATTAAATCAATATAAAAATTTACACATATATAAATAGATTATTTTCCAATAATTAGTTTTCAAAATGTTCATTGCATGATCGTG